AGTACCCTTGTCGTACTTACAATGTAGAAAAATTTAGAGCAAACGTCAGAGCAGGGTCGTCAGAATCCGAAAAAAAAAAAAAAAAAAAAAAAAAAAAAAAAAAAAAAAAAAAAAAAAAAAATCAAAGGGTAATGGAAACTGCATCGTGGCATGACGTTCTACCTGAGCCGGATCGGCGTAGCAACGGTTCCCCACCCACCCTACAATCCCGACCTAGCCTCGGTGGACCTCTTTTTGGCCCCTCGATTGAAGCGGGTGTTTAAAGGACATCATCTGGGCACTGTGGACAACATCCCAGCAACCACGACGGCTCTTCTGAAGGACATCCCGGCGGAGGACTTTCAAAAGGCATATACAGCATGGGCAGAGCGCTGGCAAAAGTGTATCGATGCGGAAGGTATGTACTTTGAGGAATATTAAGTTGCTTTATGTGTACGGTCAATAAACTGTGAGAGAAAAAATGAGACTAGTGACTTTTCGGACAAACCCTGTATTAAAAGAAATTAAATTAGGAAGAATCTGCATGAATGTATGTATTTTTCTCACACTATAAAAAAACAACGGTACCTAGAGACATCAAATTATAAACAGCGTAGTCCTCCACACGAATGTGGACATCTGGAAGCCCAAATTTGCAATTTGTTTTATTATCTATCTCATACTTTGTAAAACTTTGACGAATTTTTGATTAACAAACTCAAAATTTCAAAGCGATAACAGTACAATAACAATACTGTACGGGAAAAAAAAAAAAAAAACTCCAGCGCGCGAGACTGTGTATCGGAAATTCTAAAGATATTCTCTTTTAAAATATTTTGTGATATTGCTGTTGAATTGAATATTATGGTTTAAGTTCGAAGAACATGTTACTTAATAAATAAAGGTGACCATTAAAAGAACCACCCATTAAAAAAACGCCTTTTAAAATTTAGGCTAAAAAAAATTCTGAAAGCTTTTAGATTTTATATTACGCCCAAAGGGGTATTTTTTTAACGTTTTCTGTGTTATCTTTATTAATTATATATCATGCTTTTCGCACTTAGCTCATAAAATTCAATTCAATAGCAGTATCACAAAATAATATAAAAAGAGCATAATCTTTAGAATTTCAGGTACACAGGGCCCACCAGCGGCCGAGCGGTAAAATCGCTGCATAGTGGTAGCTCGGTCCGAGGTTCGAATCCCGCGAACGGGCTGGCTGCATGGCGTTTTCGTGGTTTTCCCCATGTGTAACGTGTTATACGAGTCCGTTTCCCTTAGAAAGTTCTCCACGAAGGCATCCCTCCCTTTAGGCAGATAGCCCTTGTGTGCTTTGCCATAACTGAATAATCCTAATCCATCCCTTAGAAAGTCCTTCACGAAGGCATCCCTCCTCTTAGGCAGATAGCCCTCGAGGTTTTTGCTGTAATTAAATAACCTAACCTAACCTCAGGTACACAATATCACGCGCTGGAGATAATTCCCCCCCCCGGAGTGTTGCTATTAATCGCTTTGAAATCGTTGAGTTTGTTAACCAAAAATTTGTTAAAGTTTACAAAATATGAAATTGATACTAAAACATTTCCGAATTTTAAATTTGGGTTTCCAGATGCCCATATTCGCGGAGGATTACGTTATTCAAAATTGGATGGCTCTAGGTACCGTTGTTTTATCACAATAAGAGAAACATACATACATTTATGCAGATTCTTCATTTTTAATTCCTTTTTTAAATATAACACAGGGCGAGAATATTTGGTGGCAACAGTTTGAAAAGTGAAACAACGCAAAATGCCAGAAAGAAATTAATAGTCCTTCTGAGCAAATTGGCTACTTTTGACTAATAATAAGCATTTACATTTTAGAAATCAATTCAACAGCCTCGAAACTGTTCTAAAAATGTTGTAATTGCATTTGTACATAGGGGGAACTGCATAAGAGAAATACTCCGTTCCGGATAAATATCCGTGTATGACAAAATAGTATTGCGTAATTGAGAAGTTTACTTCAAACTGTATAATGTCGCGTAAATTTATTGAAATCTGTATAATATTGCGTAACTGAAATTGACTGCATCTTATACGAATCCTTACACTTTGTTAAAGCAACTGGGCGGCACTTCTTGCTAAAACAAAACTTTCTGGAGCTGACAAGCGTCCTCTGTGAGCATCAGATCGCAACCGATTATCGGAAACCAGCGAAACCACTTTGCTCGTCTTTCGATGAGAGTTGTTATTTGCGAACTCCCTTCCCCTCCATCGGGACGAATAACCTGTAACTTTTTCTCCAAGCTCGAACAATTTTTAGAGATCACTCGCCTCACCACTTAATTTCTTACTTAATTCTGCCTTTGTGACCCCGACGGGCTTGCAGTGAAGACGGAAAGGGCAGCACACCGACCCCAAAAAAATCATTAAAATCTGAAACCTTTCAGATTACGTCTGAAAAGGGCGTTTTTTTTAACGTTATGTGTGTTACCTTTATTTATTAAATATAATATTCTTTGCACTTAAACCATAAAATTCAAACTTTCTCGAGGTGTTTCACCATCAACACTAAAAAAAAACCTGGAAATTTGCTGGAACGGCCCTCCATGGTTAGTCAAATCTCTAGAATATTGGCCCCATTCTGATACTATTTCTAAAGATTACAGTCATAACTTCGAGGCAAAGAAAGAAAAGGTTCAGACCCTTCACATCGTATCTACTCAACCAATCATAAAGGCTGGAAACTACAGGTTCTTACTTTCTATTGTTACGTGTAACATCTTGGATTCTTCGCTTTATTTACAGCTGTAGGAAACAAGATAAAGTTAGTGTAGTGAGTTACATGCTCACAGAATTGAATCAAAGTTCGTATTTATTGGATACAGACCGTTCAGAAAGAATCCTTTCCTTCAGAATATGGAAGCTCATGTTGACAGGAAAATCACTCCCTAAGAAATCAAGGATAGAAACAATTTAAATAACCCTTTTTTCAAGAAAACAATGCTTATACTTCTTGGTGGTCGACTACAATTTTCTGATTTATCTCATGGTGAAAAACATCCCATATTATTGGAAAGTTCTCATCATTTTACAAGCCTACTGATACGCCAAACACATTTACGAATGCATCATCTCGGTGTTCGGATTGGACTTTCTCAGCTTCGTTCAGAATATTGGATATTAAGAGCAAGACAAGCCATTAAAAAGGGGACAAAGACTTGCCTTCCATGTAAAGTACTGAAACAAAAAAGAAGTGAACAGATAGAAGTTCCATTACCAGCTGAGCGAATTCAAAAGAATTTTGAAACTACCGGAATTGATTTTGCTGAACCACACTACGTAAAAAATAATATATCCGTTACAAAAGCTTACATTGACATCTTCACATGTGCTACAATTCGAGCTATCCACTTAGAATTGACGTCTTTCCACTTGCATTACAACGTTTTGTCTCTAGACGTTCACTTCCTCATACAGTGTACACTGATAATGCCACAACTTTCTGCGCTGCGGACAAAGAGTTGAAATTATTGTGGGATACTATATCCTCTGCCAAGGCACAATAGTTTTATGCCCACCACAACATCAAATGGAAATTCATCGCCCCCCGAGCGGCTTGGTGGGGAGGATGGTGGGAACGAATGATAGGCTCAATTAAGGGATGCCTTCGGAAAACATTAGGTAAGGCTCTTTTGGACGACGCTGGTTTGATCACTGTATTATGTGATATTGAAGCCGCTCTTAACAGTAGACCGATTGTCCACGTATACGGAATAAAAGGTGACTCTGAGGAAGCTTTAACCCACTCGCACTTCCTCATAGGAAAGAAATTAACTACTATTTCTTCCAGCCTCACAAATCCTGAAACAAATTTAAATCGTATGTGGAAGAATCGTCAAAATTTGATGGACTCCTTTTGGAAAAGATGGCAAAAGGAATATTTGATGGACTTGCGTACATTTCATCAAGTGGCGGAATCCATCTGAACAAATAAAATACTGAAAGGGGACATTGTCCTGCTACAAGAAGTTAGACTTCGCCACACCGGGGAAAAGGCCCGTGTTGAGAGCTAATCCTTGGCCGCGACAAGAAAGTCCGTACTTGTGTTCTGCGCACCAATGGACATACCATTACCCGACCTGTCCAGCTGGTCATTCCCCTGGAGGTTGACCAGGGTGGGAGTGGAGGTGTTGCGGCAAGCCAACGAGCTATTAAAAATAACATTACCCTTTTTGTGAATGGCATCACTTACGTTTTTGTATTCATAAATGTCTTTTGCTTGTTCTGTACTTCATGTTTATGTTAGGAAATAAATAAGTATAAAATACTATCTCCTAATAGGAGCAATGTCGCAAAATAATTTAAAATGAGCATATCTTTAGAATTTCCGATACACAATATCGCACCCGCTGGAGATAAAAAGGTTTCCCCCCCCCCCCCCGTCATAGAGTGTTGCCATTGCTTGCTTTTAATCGTTGAGTTTGTTACTCAAAAATTCGTTAAAGGTTTACAAAATATGTAATCGATAATAAAACGAATTTCAAATTCCAAATCTGGGCTTTCAGATGACCATATTCGATAGAAGATTACTTAATTCAGAAATAGATGGCTCTAGGTACCATTGTTTTATCCCGTTGCGAGAAACATACATACATTTATGAGATTCTTTATTATTAATTTCTTTAAATATACACAGGGCGATAATATTTGGTGGCTACAATTTGAAAAGTGAACCGGCATTTGTAGCGAAGCAACGCAAAATGCCAAAACGAAATTAATAACCCTTCAGGACAAATTGCCCCTTTGGGCTAAAAAAGCAAAATCTGAAAGGGTTTAGATTTTAACGATCGTCTAAAAGGGTTCATTAAGGTTCTTTTAGGCTTCTATCTTTTTAGCTTTATCATTAAGCATCATTTTCTTCACACTTATGCCATGTGAAATTCCACAATAAAAGTGAAAAAGTTTTAGAAGCAGCACAGCAACATATGTCTCATTAATGACAACATATCGTTTTCAGTCTTTTCTCACATTCGCCTATCAATATTCAGTTTACTTAGTAAGATGGCTTCCGAAATTATTTTTCTCTCTTTTTATTATTAATGTTTTGTGTGCCGTCCACCTGGGATAGTGATAAATTACTTTTACTATCGTACCGAAGGGCCTGGGTTCGAATCCCGGTGAAGGCATGGATGTTTGTAAATGTATAGTGTTTGTGAAGCATGTTTGCACTCTAAATATGCGGCGAAGTCCTCTCGAGAGCTGTGTGGCAGGGGGGAGAGAGGTGAGAGACCCTGTTAGCCCTCCCTTCGGAGTGCTCATGGAGGTAGGAAGTAAGATGGAGTCGCCCTAAAACAAGTTTCTCCGTACCCTGCTTTGAAGCACCGGCGATCCCTACGTGGTGACCAAAACATTGGGTCATTTACCATTGAGTTCTATGGGATTTGACGCGTTCGGGTGTAAATATTTTGTAATTACGTCGCAAATATACATATAAATGTATATATTTTCTTTTTCTACAACACTTCAGAGTCCTAAGTATATAAAAACAACATATTTTTAAACAACATTTCATTCTGAACGGAATTAAATGCTATACTTTTCACAGGACAGTTTTCTCAGAATGGTTTAATTTGAATGAAATATTTTCACAAGTTTTCGTTAATTACATTAGAAAAAAAAAAAAAAAAAAAAATAAGGTAATTCGATTTTATTCGGTTAAGGTACAAAAATTAAGATCAAAGTTTATTGTATTATTAATATTAAAATTATGCATTATTTCTTTTCTATTTATAGAGCTTTTTCTTAAAATACTTTCTTAAATATGACATGATTTTTTTGGCTTCTTTTAAATCGAAAAATGTAAGTCAATTTATAATTAATGCTCTATTCGGTTCATTTAAATTAGAGAATTATTAGGAATTAGCGAAATACTTAATTCCTAATAATTAAATAGGTATTTAATAGTATTTGACTTTCTCTGAACATTTCTGAAAGGGAATAAAATAAGTTTTTTTTTTTTTTTTTTTTTTTTTTTTTTAAGTATTATTTTAAAACTTGTAACTGAGTTATTATAAAATGTAAAGGGAATAATTCTTTTAATTATACTTATCAGATTTTTTTTTTTTACCCTTCATTTCAACAATACATATTCCAAAACTCTTTATTACGTTCTTAAGTGCGCATCTCATAGCATTTGCTTTACAATACCTTTTAACAGATTGCTTTCCAATACGAACAATTCTTGCTTAAATAGTTTTATAACGTATTTGTCAACAGGATTTCAATTTATGTTTACAATTCAATATTAAGGTTATATATTTTAGATAACATTTATAATCATTATAAATTAGATACATTTAATCATTAGATTTCTTCACAGTACTTTCACTGTTTATAAGTGAATAAATTCTTCATTTCAAATACATTTATAAATAATTTAATGAATATTTAAGTATTTTGTCAAAGGCAGATACATGCTTTTTGCAAGCACATGCATAAATACCCATACATATTTCCTATTTATCATTTCCGGCATGTGCAAATCTTTAATTTCGGTGCATTCACTATATTTTTCGTGTAAAGTAATTTACACTAATTTAGCATACACCCGAAAGTTTTACATAAAAAATATATATGAATATAATTTGAATGAAAATTATAAGTATTATTTTTAATATCCATTCAAAGGTCAGTTTTTCTTCAAAATTCCTCCACGATGGCATCTCTCTCTTTAGGCAGATAGCCCTTGCATGCGTTACTCTATTTAATAAAAACTTAATCTGACCTATGTGCCTAACTACAAATATTTTAACATACATAATTTTATATTTACATTCAGCCGTCAAGTTTCAAACTTTTCAAATCTTCTAGAAAATAAATTTTGGCAGATCTCTTTTAGCAATTTTCTTAAAATCTATATTTTTGTAGTGCAACAGCTTAGAATTTTATAAAACAAATTCATAATCAAAATCGCTGTTGTTAGTTATCGAAAAATAACCCAGATGTGATTTTTGCGTTAATGTCAGTAAACTACACAAATCGCTATTATCCATCACACTATGAATGTTTCTTTCATGCGAGAGTGTCCCTTTTTCGATTTCTATGGAACTGTCGTGTGTCGAAATACTATCAGAATCTTGTCAAGCGAGCTTTTGAATGTAAACAAAGAACACCCCGTCTGGTGACCCAAGCTTCAAAGCAGTGCTTCACTTCTAGCGCGGAATGGCGCCTCCTCCCTTTCCTATCTCCATGGTTACTAGAACCACGCCGCGCTAGGAGGTGCCAGACTCCGAGGCCCGGCCAATAAGTGACCTTTCCCAGAGCCTTCAGAACCACCAAGTTCATAAATTTTATACCCCCGTGGCCGAGATGCCTAGGTACAGATCCAAGCCAGTAGCTTCGCAGAATTCTCTACGTCGACCCCCGGGGGGGGCATTCGTTAGGCTTAGTAGAAGTTCAACAATTTTTAAATTGTTGATAATTATAAAACTATTGCATGCAGATTAAAATTAACTAAAGGCATAAAAGCCTTAACTGGACCATAAGAACCATATAATTAAATCACTTTTATAGCGAAAACTGCATAACTTTTGATAAAAACCTGAGCACACCTGCCGAATGCAACCCAAAACGAGGTGCACAAGTGTATGTTATAGCAGTCCCATGTACAAAATTTCGATGTTCTCAGCCTACTCGTTTTTGAATAATGCGATATATATGCATACGTACGTACGTACGTACAGCTGTCAGAAGAAAATCTTTTCTTAATCCATTTTCAAATTCGTTTTGGGTAAAAGACTCCTTTATTCTGTTCGCACGTACAGACGTCACCCCAAAACATAGTTCAAATGGATTCGAGAGTAGCCAAAATGGATATTTTCGTTAAAATATGATACCCGAAATTTTTCGCGATTACAATACTTCCTTTACTTCACAAAGAGAAGTGAAAATAAAATGAACGGAGAGTAAATATTTTTAACTGTATCAATGAATTGTTATATATAATGTATAATGTCATATCCGCAACTTAGTCTTCCAATATCTACTACTACATTTTTTATTCAGATTGCATTTCCTTTTAAAATAGTATAATGTGTTGCATTATTTTATATATTCTCTCAATTAATTATTTGCCTTAACAATTTATAGTCATCTAGTTGTAATTTTGATGATTTATTAACGCAAAAAAAAGTGTCATTTTCATGCTGAGTCCAGATTTTTACTCAGAGCAAATTTTCAGATGAAAGCTTTTATTCGAAAGACGAAATGCGCATGATCCTGTTGCCAAATTATTTATTCAATTAAAATTCTAAGCTTAATAATTAATTATCCTTATTAGCAAACACCTGTTCTGTGGATTTCTGTAGAAGAAAACTGCTTCTTCTACCATTTAAATCTTCGAATTTTCTTAAACGTTTATTTATTTGTATGTGCAATTAATAACATAAGTCTAAAGTTTAGCAATCATATTCAGAGTTATTATAGTATGAAACTATGTATGCTACGTCTCGTAATGTCGATTCATAATGGTTTGGAACGAAATAAATTCTATTAATAGTCAAAAACAACTAATATTGCTGAAGGAAGAATAGTGTCACTACTTTCAAGTAAATTATGTGCTTACTTTTCTGAATATTTTCGACGCATTTCTATAAATCTTTTACATTTACGTAGGATCATTCAGTTTATAAATATTTAAGTTCTATATTTATCATTTTGTTTTCAAAATTAACTCTTTCTTTATTTTCAACATGCACCATCAAACACTGCAATATTTACTTGAAGAATGATGCATAAAATTGTTTTTCTTTGTTACCGAACGGCAAAATGTTCTCAAAACATTTGTTACGATATAAAACGTAAATGTTGTTGGAAGCTTATGGATACTTTATTTTTGAAATTGCAAAATTTTGCGAAAACGAACTGCTACATAAGTAAATAGTTTGAAAGGAATTTTTTTTTCTAATCCCGAAATTAATTTTGCTTTTTGCATCATCGGAATTTAATGGTTTTGGAAGACATGAGAGACGTGATATATTATATCTAACACAGATGATATATGCTGTGGATCATAAACGTTGAAGGGAATTTTATTTTTAAGCAATATAATATTAATATATATATTCGTTTTCTTTCTATATTTAAATCTTTTTAAAAGTTTAAGTAAGATTCTAATCTAAACTGTCACCCTGACATCTCACTGTTATAAGATAGCGAAAACTTAAATTTGAATTTTTTGTTTAAATAATTAGAATTGTTTACTTTCTTTCTTACATGTTCGCTGTGTAAAGAACCTTTCTGAATAAATGAAAGTGAATCAAATGAAATTATTGCGTTATTTATGACATTTTGTTGAATCAATTATTCAACTGGAAGAACATTAACATTGCATTTTTGTTTCTCTGCAGTCGCAACATCGTCCCCATTGTTATGGGAGCCCGTCGAGAAGACTATGCCAGATCTGCTCCACCCCATTCCTACATTCATGTCGATGATTTCGCAACCCCCAGAGATTTGGCTCAATACCTTCATCTCCTGGACAAGAACCACACCCTCTACAACGAATATTTCCGATGGAAAGGTACTGGAGAATTCGTCAATACCTATTTCTGGTGCCGCATGTGTGCCATGCTGCACGCACCCCAGTATCACAAGTCTTACCCGGACATGCACCACTGGTGGGCAGGTCCTGGCACATGCAGTGCCGGACACTGGCCAAATCACGTGACAAAACGCCCTGCAACGCAAACTACGGGTGAAGTTAAGGACGACAATGGCTAAGCTGACTAAACTACGTTATTAATAGTAGTCAAGAACTTAAATGGACTCAGCACATAGTTTGTGCAATGTTGATGACACTGCAAGCCATGTTTGGAGACGATAATGTTTAGCCTTTTGTATATTTTCTTCGTTCTCGAATGATTTGTTTAGTAAACATAATTTTGGATACCGGTTTTACGACAGACTTGCATTTTCGTTTCGGAAAATCGCATTCTCTGACAGATTAAGAAATGCGAAAATGTCCTGTGCTTTCCCACTCACATTTCTTTCGTACATTCCACTTCACTGCGTACAAAGAATTTTTTTTTCTGGATTCCTATAGAGATATTTGTACAGCACATTTTTGGGTTTTGTGAACATTTTTATCCGATTCTCTATTGTACCAAACCAATGAATTTCACGTAAGGGCGTGATTAAGGTTCGCAGTAATTAATAATGCTTAGAAATGACCAACCAGCTAAACGTCTAAATCTAAGCGTCTGTTCTAATTGAAAATAATGCATCGGATAAGAAAGGCAGCTTTTACGTGTATTATACTAGTTCGCTATTTGAAGATAATTAAAGGTAAAAGATGAGATCGCTCTTGGTATACCTTATGCTATAACATGCTTACGTCAAAAGCTATTATTTTTAGTGCTTAGCATTGACGAATACAAAACTATACGAAGATTTTTCTTCTTTATTTATCTGTGTTCTGTTCCCTAATTTTGCAAAATAATTTTCGTACAATAGTTTTAACTCATAAATCAGTTTTGGCATTTATCACCTGGTCACTAAGAGCCTGAAGCAGTTTTCTGTTTTATGGTTGTTTACAATTAATGTAATTAAAGTTTTCTGTTTTATTGTTGTTTATAATTTATTTAATTAGATTATATTTCCAAAATTTGGATTTCGGTAAGGAAAACGTTTTCTAATATACTCATATTTAAATAATAAAAAAATCTTGTTTTCAGTTTCGTTCAGCTTTGTATGTGCAAATTACATCAGATAAAGAAATACATGAATTTTTCACTTGTACTCATTTACTTACTTTTTTGGGTATAAATTTATTAATATATCACTCAACACAGACAAACTGTTATGCGTTTCATTATAAAATTCATTTTTTCCCATTAGTGCTGTTAATGTATTATTAATGAGAGTAGTGTAACTTCATAATAAATTTATCCTGGCATGATCTGCTCAAAGCAATTATAAATACATAAAATTATTTCATTAACAGCATGAATTCGATGGAACAATAAAGTCTAACCTTATTCCTATGTAATTTTGAGAGCGTATTTAGTTAATAACACTAATGGAGCTGAAGTAATTGAAGCAATCTTTATTTATTCATCTTTCATTTAGAAACTGCCTAAAAGTAAATATATCCATGAAAGACAAACCGGTGTAAATTGCATCACATTTTTTGCATTTGTCACCGTCAATTCTGTAGTTAAAGTAATTGTCATTCTTTAAGAGACATTATATTTGGCATAGAGTATGATGAATGGTTTTGACTGTTTTTTTTTTTTTTTTTTTTTTTTTTTTTTTTTTTTTTTTTTTTTTTCAAATTAAAATATCTTGTTCTTTAATTGTTCTAATAAAAATATTTATTAAAATAAGCAGGTTAAATTAATGTTACAGACTTCTTTTTAATCTCTCAATTTATTCCAAACAAAAAATTATTAATTATGAAATATGTAATCCTATATGTAATACAAGCAAGGAAATAAGATCTGAGGACTATTGTGTATTTTATAGAGCATTTGAAAAAATAATATATTCTAAAATCATTCTTTTATTATTAAAATATATTCTCAAATAATTTAAATCATCACATATAATTTAAATCACTTAAATTATATATCAAAAAAATTTTTTTTTAAGTTTTACAATATTTAAAATTATTTTTAAGTTTTAAAATAAACTAATGTTATTTATATAGCATTAAAATTATTGTCCTTTGATTTTGTTTTAAACTGCTTATAAAATCAATTTATGTTAGTCTGAATAATAGTCTATATTTCTTATAAAGCCGAACCAGTCTTTACGCTTCAGTTCCAAAACAATTAGAAAGAATAATTTAAAGTAAGTATTTGCACTTCATAAATTCGCTTCATATAAATTTTCTAGTTATCAGATGAAATAACAGAAATGCAGAAAAGATTCAACAACCTTACAAGTTTAATTAAATCTTTTCATAATCCAAAACATATTCACAATAATTAGAAAAAATTATTAATTATACACTAAAGTACCTTATAAGCGAAATGGGATGAATCACTAAAGCTTTGAGAAATCAATTAACTAATTTTGAGTTCTGCAAACAATGCAAGTTACTTGTTTCTACACGAAGCACTGTGTGAAATAACAGAAATGCAGAAAAAAGATTCAACAACCTTACAAGTTTAATTAAATCTTTGTGTAATCAAACATATTCACAATAATTGAAAAATTATTAATTATACACTAAAGTACCTTATAACGAAAGTGATGAATCACTAAAGCTTTGAGAAATCAATTAACTAATTTGAGTTCCGCAAACAATGCAAGTTACTTGTTTCTACACGAAGCACTGTGTGATTTCTAAGAAAGACAATCTAAAAAAAAAAATTTGTAAAGTATGAGATTGAGGCTATAAGAGATTGGATATATTTTAAGCAACATATATGAAGGTACTGTTTTAAGCAGGTGTATTTCAAATTATGAACGGAATGTAAATTCTAAATTTGTAAATTTTTGTTGCTATCGAATAAACTTTGTAATATAGGATATTTATTGTATTATATTGTGCATAATATATAATATAAGCTATGTAATTTTTCTGCTGTGGGAAAGTCAAAAGTAAATTACGGCATTGAATTATTTACATATTTGAAGTTAATTTCAAAATTTGAAAAAATTATTTTCAATTATCATATGTTATTTAAACGAAGAATTAAGAATTCATTGGTAAGAAGAGTTTTATTTGTTTTCAATTATTTAATAAATTTTATTGCTGAATGTATGCATTTGTTCACTTCTCATAATCTGATTATAAGTTAACTGCGTAATATTATAAAGAAAATGAAAACTTTATTTCTCTGTTCATAAGTATCAAATTTCTGTCCTATATATTGCATTTATTTACATTTCACAATAAAGTATTTATCTTGTTAATTTCATAGCATGAAAATTTAATCAAAAATTCCATTTTAGTTGTAAATAATATCGTTATTTGTAAATTAGAAGTATCGAAATGCATGCTGAATTTGATATGCAAGCCATTTTGTTATACTCGCAGGTAGAACAACGCAACGAAACGTTTGAATTAAGAATGTATATTTTCAATATTTCTAAAATGCTTATACTTTAAAATCTGCTTTAAATTTAAATTAGTCATAAAAAATTATAATATTTCTTATAACTATACATAACAAAATGATTATTTTTAATAACCATTTTTCGAAATTAGAATAAAGAACTAAGAGTTTCATAAATTTAACGATTTTTCAATAGAAAGCAAAATTTCTTAATTAATTGAATAACTGTTTTTTTTTCTTTTGTAGAAATATAAGCTTTTGTAGCCTTCCGTTAAAATACCTCTGACAGGTTACAATTATTTCAACTATTTAATTGAGATGTCACTTAGACAGTAAGTAGTACAAGTGGTATTGCTGTGTTCCTATTGAGAGTTCTTTGTTTTCAACTAGAAATGAACTCTAAAACACATTGGTCTTTATTTATTGCATGTTATGTCATAAACATGTTTTAAGATACATTCTGGAATTTGTATTCTTGGTCTACAATATACAGTATTTATTTACAGCATGTTCCGCTGTTCAAATTCTCTTTATTGCAGTTACCTATCGATGTAAAAATTGTCAATTTATTTTCTGTGTGTAACTTATGGATGTATTTATGATGTACAAAATAAAAACAGCTGACGCTTATTGTGTAGTTTTTGTGCATTATTTTTAAATACTATCATTTTTTGGACTGATAACTTTTATGGAATGAAAAAATACTTAGTTTGTTGCAAAATTACAAAATGCGTTATACTCTGTAATGCACGGTATTTGAGTAGGTCTTGCCATTCTGGTATTACAATAACTCCTCAATGATTGGAGCTAGTACGGCCAAATTATGAGCAACTATTTAGGGGCCCAAAGGAAATTCGGTTCCACACCCTAGTTATTTTTGTTCAAATCTTGTTTCCGATATAATGGACCGATATTCAATCAAAGAACATGCTTTTTTTAGTCAGCACGGTTTGTCTTTTTTGACCTGAGACCTGCCAAAAACATCACAAACGCGTGTAGTGCCTTTAACCCGGGAGCGAGCGCACTGGGTCCAATGGACTCGCGCGATTAAACAAACGTTTTTCAAAGCAGGCCTATTTTACGCAAGTTGTTGAGGCCCAGTGTAGTCATGTCTACCTCTTTATGTTCCCGAAGTTTTTTCGCTAGGACTTCGTAATTTATCTTAAATAGAGGAAATGTTGCAAAAGTTGTTAGATGTGTCAGCTGGCGAAGATTGTATTGAAGAAAATGAGAATAAAAATGATCATGAATTTTTAGTTCATATGATACTGATTCAGACAGTGATAGATATTTTGAAAACGAGACTGAGAATAACATAAATTGTTTTATTGCGAAAAAAATTATTGAAAACGAAGAAAAGGGGGGAAATGCAGTGTTTGCCCAGCGAAATAGAATAGAAAAAAGAAAACGCACTTCGCCGAATGTGAAAAATATTTGTATTTGGAACACACGAAAACACTTTTTTCAATATGCTCTTAACATTTGTTGTTGCATTTTTCCTCTGTGTCTATAATGCTAAGAAGGAAAATAACAATTGATACAGAGTAAAAATATAATATCTTTCTTTCCTATACTAATATACAATACGATTTTCTATTCCTTTAAGAAATTTTATTTCATAAAAACATTTGGAGAAATTAAAAATTTTAACTTGCATACTTTTTAAATTTGATCATAAAAGTTATTATCGATATAGATACAACACTTTTTTCTAAAGATATACAATATCTTATTCAAAAAACACGAATCGGGTCTTTTGGACACAGTGCGTGCGCTCGTGTAACTCACATCAGCGTGCGTGCTTCTGGGTTAAATGCTTCTTGAGAACAAGGTTCATTCCTGATGACTACTGTAAACACTGGAGCCCAAGACATATGGTTTCAGCAGCATGGAGCTGTTCCACGTTCGACTACCGACATTCTGGATGTGCTTAGAATTCATTATGAAAACTTTGTGTCATTCCAAAGCCATTTGGGGGGCAAAGACAACATCCCCAATAGGCAGAACTTATCGACTTCTTATATAGCTGTGGAAAATACATTCACGGACAAAAAAATTAGCGCACCAAGAAATAATTGCGGGATCGTAACGAAACTTGCAAGGTACATGTCGGGGAGATATGCAAATGATTAGAAATGCAGCGTGATTGCGCATTACATATAGCCGGTAGAGGGCGTTGAACATCGTACTCTGTGGAGTATAAAACAGGTAACCAAAGCTTGTTTGAGTGTGATGAATCATTTACAGAGGAAAAGCTGAGGTAGACATGCCATTACGAAGACAATATGCCATAGTTCGAAGACAATATGAGCAGTTGTCGCAGTTTGAGAGGGGAGAATCGTTGGGATGGTGGAAGCTGGGTGGTCAGCTAGGCGAGTAGCTCGTCAATTAGGCCGCTCTGATTATGTTGTGAGGAAGTGTTGGGACCAGTGGACCCGAAAGATGTCATGTACATGAAGACCA